ACACGGATGTACAGACAGAAGACTTTGACACTGAAGAAGACCTAAAAACGTGATGACTCTCAGGCAGGTTGTGCAGGTGTAAGGAGTGTCTCCTCTGCTTTATAAGCGGGTTTATAGGTGTTTAATAGCGTAGACATCAGGAATAATGATATCTTCAGACAGAGACAGTTCATCCTGTCTATATGATCAGATTTGACTCAGTTATGACTCAGAGAACTGTGGCAATAATTACATTAACTAACTCCCCGTGTGTCTTGCCTCTGGGCTCAGTTTGAAAGCCTCCTGCTCCTGAAGTACGGACTGCATTGTGTCTGCAGCACAACGACATCGCATCGCACGGCTCCTGCATTCAGGCGTTTATTCATAAGCGTTATCAGCCAGCACTGTAATACGATATCAACACGCAGAACGTCTGCAGAGCTGAAGGGATGCAGCAGAATGAGCTCCTCGGTACAGACCCAGATCCTCCGGCAGAGACCGGCCCACCGTGGACGGACCCAGATCCTCATATTTAATAAAAAGCTGAATATCTCACACGTTTCGATGGTCGGTTGGATAAGGAGAGCTATTTGAATGCGTCCACCTTGTGCTCTGGAAACTATGTTTTTTACACACAAAACGATGAGTCGCTGCCCTAAAGGATATTTAGGCCATGTTGCCATTTCTAATGCACTTCCTTCGTGCTATTCAGAAAACATTTAGGCCTGCAGAGTGCATATTCACCGCTGCAGCCATCTTTGTTCTCTGCGTGCGTTGAATGAACTTGTCTTCAGGGCAAAAAGAATCACACAGAAGCATCTCTTGTTCATTCCACAACTCCAACCACTGACTGCTCTATGTGTGGTTTTTGTCGTGTGGTGGCCTAGAAGAAAAAAAAAAAGGCTTACGAGACACATCACTGCGAGAGACTTGAAGGTGTTACACAAGGAGGGGGGGGGGGGGTTAAAGGTGAGCTCCATTGACGTGAGCATCAGCAGGAGAGTGAGGTGAAAACAGGCCGTGTGGGGAAAAGGTCCGAGCAGGTACGAGCTTGTTCGAGAGGTGAGACAGAAGAGAGGCTGGCTCAGTGACTCAGAGTTCGATTATTACAGACACACACACACACACACACATTTCTCCATGCAGCCGTTGTGACACCTCATACAGGAAGTGGACACACACACACACACACACACACACACACACACACACACACACACACACACACACACACAGAGAGAGAGAGACGTAAGCTCTTCCTGAATCATGCGGTTGCTGTGGCTCCGCCTCCTGCTTCTTTCATCAAGATTCAAAAACTTGTAGGACGGAAGAACTGGAATAAAACACACACATGCAGACACACACATATATACACACACACACACACACACACACACACACACATGCAGAAGAAGCTGTTTTGGTTCAATCTCGTGTCTCGGTTTCGGAGACAAAGCCACACTTTAACTTTAACTTTTCAGCAAACAAGTAAAGCTAGAAATCACCTCAGTGACTTTAATAACTTGAATGTTCATTGAGGTGTTTTTATTTAAGTTATGCAGCATTTGTGCTCTGAGAAAACCGTATAGTCACATTATTACTGTAGAGCTGAAACAATAAGTCCAGACACATAAAATAGATGGTTTGTGAGAGAAAACAAGACAATAAAAGATGTCCCATACAAGCATGTACTTTCATTGTCGAGACACAATCCACTTTAAAAAGTAATCTGTGCGTTATTATTTAATTATGTATTTTAGGTGTTTTATGCACCTTTTTAATGTCTTTAACTGAGTTTACCTGGAGATCAAAACCCACTGCTGCTGTTTCTAAATGTTATTTATTAATAAACTGACATGACTTTGGTTTTACACCAAAAAATAAATCCACAAATTATATTAAAAAATCCACAAAGTGACTCGTGGTGACTTTTTAAGTGTTGTTTTATGATTTAATCTGATTTGAATCATTCTATAGTTACAGTAGAGTGAGATATGGAGCTTTTTAAATGTGGTGTCCCAATAGCAGCTTTTAGACCAGAATAACGTTCAATTAGTGACTTCAAGGTGTATTATAATGTTTATATTTAATCTAATGTGGCATCACAGACAAACTGTATAAATGTCTCACCTCTCTAGTCAGTGAGACAGGAGGACAGACA